TACTGACTTTACATAAAAATACTCCTTTTACTTTTTTCGTACTTACAACTTTACTACTTCCACGTTACTACTACTACTACTACTACTACTTAACTTAAACTACTTTTACCTTACCTTAACTATTTGTTTCCCTTTTCTACGTGCTTACCTACTACAACATTAACTACTTACACGTACTAACTACTTACTAGTATTTACCGTTATAGCACTTTTACTCCACTTACTCCTCGAATGTTACCACTACTTTGTCCTTTTCGTGTTACCCTCCCTACCTACAAAGGCGGTCCTTGTACTTCCTTACTCCTCCCTGTCCTACAACTTTTTCCTTTTCCGTTACTTTTTACTTGTCCCCTGTTCCTTCACTGGCCCTCCTTCGACATGATCCCGGCACCCTGCCGTCCTCAGCGGCCCCGACATCGGACGGCCCTTATCCGTTGTCCTCGCCTTCCAAACTACAATTACTACACTGTAACCTGACACTACTGACTATTTTACTTACACACTTAGTATTGTACTACACTTTCCTTTACTTTTCTTCACTTAACTTTTACTTTTAAACTGTTTACGTACTACTTTTACTCCCAACGCAAAATTTGGTTGCGAACTTTAAATGGCATATCGCTACACCATATATAGATAATTGTATACAAGTTACCCCCCAGTATTTTGTCTGTGTTCTTATGTATGTGATAAGATGGGCTGCACGGGAAAAAGAGGTTAGGGAGGGGACAGTGACAAAGGGGGGAAGACCCGAAGGGGGGCGAAGAGATAAATGTTGCTCATAGCGCCATAGATTTTTCTCCTCTTCTCAGCCACCTTTCCCTGGCTGGAGCAACTGTGTGGTGCAAGTTCTTCTGAGGATTGAGATATCGTCTTCTCTGAAACTCATCAACAGCACAGCCATCAGCTCATACAGGCCAGAATAGAGAGCAAAGAGCTCCCCAGGTATCACTATACATACCTTTAAGCTTCAGTACTATAACATGTGATAGGCTCTGTGAAAACGACCCTTGTCACGCACGAAGCTTCAGTACTATAATATTATAGTTTCTAGTAGTAAGTACGGCAAGGACAAATTAGAGTACGGCCGTATGAAATACTGAATCTTATTGGTCACCTGGGAGAAAGCTATATAGCTAGTCCCACTTAGGTTTATAATACTTCGGAACATGTTACATTTTAAATCATTTTATGGAACCATTGCGATTTAGGGAGCCTCTGGCCCTGTAGTACCGTCCTCGTTGCACTCGAATGCCACAGTTCCCAGGGCCTTGGCCTCCTAAATCCATATAGTTTCCTATGACTCGTCCTCCAACTATTACTTTACCCTAGGTGAAGGACTTGCTCCAGCTAATGCTGGATGCCACAGAAGGGGACAGTGCTACTGGCAAGAAGATGACTGAAGAGCAACTTGCAGGGTTTTCAATTGACTTCCTGCTGGCCGGCTATGAGACAACGGCCAACACTCTGAGCTTCACCACATACCTCCTGGCAATGAACCCCGATGTACAGGAGAAACTGCAGGCAGAGATTGACCAATACTTTGAGGAAGACCCCGTGAGTATACACTTGAACTCAAATTTAATCACCAGTAGGGTAGCTAGTATTACCAGGATTGCCATATTGTGTTGATACCAATGAACGCAGGAGGCATCTCTGTATGAAGCAGCTCAGAAGCTCAAGTACCTGGATATGGTTATCCACGAGTCAATGAGACTGTATACACCCGTACCAAAGTATGGGACAGTGAACTTTTCTGATTAGCTAACCACTAATGAAAATCTACTATATAGGACTCAACGTCGCTGTATGAAAACAATCACTATCGGAGGTGTGACAATTCCAAAAGGAGCTATTGTGGTGATTCCAATTGATGCCATCCATCACTTGCCAAAGTATTGGCCGGATCCGTACAAGTTTGATCCCGAAAGGTATTTGGATATCAATATTTGCTCACTCCACTTATAGTGTTTCTCACTTTCAGGTTCACAGCCGAGGCAAAGGCGAATCGACCCCAGTTGGCTCACATGCCGTTTGGCTGGGGACCTCGCAACTGTATTGGACTCAGGTTTGCTCTGCTGGAGACAAAGATTGCCCTCATGGAGATACTGAGGAAGTACAGCTTTGCCAGAGGACCCGAGACTCCGGTTGTGTCGCAGAAAGATTAATCTGTTAGTTATTCTTTTTATTGTTAGGCCAAACTGGAGCAAGCATACGGCATCACATCTACACCGAAAGGCGGAGTGTTTGTCAAGATTGTACCAAGAATCAACGACCATTAGCTCATTGAAGACAACATACACATGCACGAAATTTTGAACTTGGGTTTTTGACTATTATTAAACCACTTCTGTATAATTTTGCCTCGCGCTGGTAGCGTCATGACGTGCACACGGCATCCGCTCACACTGAAGTGCAGGAGATGGTCCTCCTACTATTATACTAATTGCTCTGTTGATTCACGTTCATGCATCAGACTAAGTGTATATAGATGGTAATACCTGGTTGAGATCTAGCAGCAAAAGCCAACGTGACTCAAACTGACACAGCTTGCAGAGAGTATATACTCATCGTCTGTCACAATTCTTGCTCCTCTTCATAATCACTGCAGATGGTCGGTCCATTCCAAAAAAACAATTAATATTATCAGGGATCAGTAGCTAGTGTGTATCTATGACTTTGAAGTTGTATTATAGTTGAAGATAATGATTTCAGCAGCTCTCTCAGATGTCAGTTTTCAACTGACCACAGATTACGTCTGGGAAGAAACAAAATTATGCATGCTTAGTTGGTGATGGAGATAGTCCAGTCAGTTGTTGTTCTGACTAGTAAATAAAGAATTCTTCAAATTATAAAGTTTGGAATATAATTATATAGGGATGCCATCAAAAGCAAGGAGACAAGACAGGGATGACCTAGTGCATGTGCTGCAGTAGTAGAATGGATCATGTTACATATTATTCAAACTGACTTTGCTCGCTCGTGTAAACTTTCCTCCACTCAAACGTATATTGTCGCACGAAGTATGAGTGATCTCCCTCTCCCTTATATGATGTGCAGCTCATTTCTTAAGCACATGAGACAGGTAATGCTGCATTGTTTGCAGTCTGATTTATATAATATATTATGTTCACTCAAACTAACCCGTTTTACATAGCTAATGTGCAGCTATGACTCAATCACAGGTATTTCTCTCTCTAACAGCACCTCCGTTCTGAGTTCTGCAATGAAGTCTAAGTCTTCCATGTTCACTCATAGCTAACCAGTTTTACAGTTTATCTTTCTCTCGAGTAGCTCTCTCTGTTGTCTGTGTGGTGCACAAAATATGTGATACAGTAAGTTTAAACAAATCACCTGGAGAATTTCACAAAACTGTTTTTTACATTGACCCAACAGTAGAGTGGCCCAGTCACAAGGTTTTGCCATACTCTGTAAGCATTGGTCCTTGGATGCTCTGGATATCCATAATATTTTTCGTCATTGTGACACTCATTCCCTCTGTCCTTCTCTGCCTATACCCAACAAGGGTGTAGCTACCGATATCTGTCAAGGTTTCTGAGTGCCAGAAAGCGACTAGCCATCACAGCATTTGCTGAGGCTCTCCACAGCTGTTTCAAAGATGGTCTCAATGGAACTCGTGACTACAGGGCACTGGCTGGAGCACCGATCTTTCTTATCCTTGTGTTTGCTGCTGTTTTTAATGTTCTGATAGTGAACATTAGTTTTTGTGCCTCACAGAATGTAACAACAGTGCTGTGGCTGTTACTTGTATGTGTAGTGTCACATATAAAGCCATGTAAGTCAGCAGTTGCAAATATCTCTCTCACTTTTCACATGGCCCTGTTTGGAATTCTATTTTTTGTCAGTGCCTTATGGCAGTATGATCTAACTGTTGCGAACCCACACACTTGAACTGACATTCATTGCCATCTATCTCTCACCACACATTCTGGTGGCTCTGTGGGCTGGCTATACCTTGACCAAACACACACTGACAAGGTTTGGATATCAGTTCCATGGCACTGGTTGCAAGGTGGCATTGAGTGACATGGCAAATGGTGTGAGACGGTGTCTCTCCAGAAGTCGCAGGGGCTACCAGGAGTTGCAAGCACAATGAGCCAGGAGGTTGTTATATTTACAAAATAGTTTTGTACAAACTATTGGTATTACAGTTCATGTATAGCTATACCCATTACAGAGTGTTTTACCCTCCATGTTGTGTTTCCCTGTTATTTATAATATCATTTTTTGAGCAAAAGACATCCTTATTATGAGGTGGCCCCCCTGCGTTCCCCTTCATTTCAGAAGATTGATTTTTCCACAGAAATTGAAAGATCAGTTTTCTCTAGCTAAAAGGTTCACTTTAGGGACTCCAGTAAACAGGAATGGAAAGATCAGAGAGGAAACCTCTGCTCTCAAATAAAACTGTCGTGTAGCAACGTGAGAAGTAAGTAGTCAAACCAGGAACATAGGGCGGAGTAACTAAACAAGTCAGTCAATGTCTTGGGGGACTTGGTGGTGCCGCTTTCTCTGCACTCTACAGTGCATGTAGTGTTGACAACTAACACCAGTTGCCACACCTGGCACTATATACTAATAATGACACAGGAAGGTGTGAGTGTGGACATGGTCTATACTTATATGCTACAGCAACCTGAAGGAGATAACAAATGGAAAATTTGTTTATTCAAAATGAAGAGTGACATTATAGGATGGCTCATAACGTGAACTTCAAGAGTATTGCATATTAGCTATGTAAAAGTACTAACTGGAGGACGTGTCAGGGTCACGGAAACGTGCTACTTCAATTCTCTTAGCTAGTGCTGGTAGGTTGACTATAATTATAATTCCTATAAGGTGCAGATACTTGAGCATCTTCCTGCTGAGCTGCCCTAATAGCTCAGATGGTAGAATGCACTGCTTAGTCTGCAGTGTGTGGTTGGTATATATGTCCTTGCCTAGGGCAGCTCTTTTGGTCCATTACATTGTGAACTTTGTTACACAATGCTCCTTGAGCCACACCCTGTACTGTGTGCGCAGGCGCGACCCGGCCTCTCTACGCATGCGCAAATACTATGTGGGGCGTTGCTCGTCGTTAGTGCCGCGTCGGCAAGATGGAAGTGCTAGCCATTACAACTCCCCTGTCTCTGGTGACTGGTGCTGCAGTCGCTGCAGTAGCATTCATTCTGTACAGGTGAGTAAAGGTGACCCTCTGAGCTGCCTATAGCTAGTTCTGTCGGGTCGTTTTATACAGGTTCCTGGTGTCTCCTTATCGTCTGCTCAGCAGTCACGGAATCAAGGGCCCCCGACCTCTTCCACTTGCGGGGAATTTCTTGAGCATACGGAAGGTGATGATGATGGCATTGTTTATTCAGCCCGTTTTTGAGCTACAGTGTAGGAAAGTATTTTTGTTCGATGTGCAGGTTGGGCATAATGAGTTCCTGGAAGAGCAGATTAAAACGTTTGGGCTCATTTTTGGGTGAGTTACAGTTATTGGCTGTACATACCTAATACCACAGCATACTATTGGTGATGTCATTTTGTCATTGTGGCATCATTGCAATTTTGTCTACAACCACGGTCACCAAATTATCTCTATTAAAGACTTTATCTCCATAGGTACTATGTAGGCAGGATGCCAATGATTAACATTGCAGATGTTGAGGTGGTGAAGGAAATAATGGTGAAAGAGTTTGATAACTTTAGTGACAGAGGGCTTCTGGTATGTTCACCTTTCTCAGATCTAACCCACCCATCACAAGTATGATACTAGTGAAAATGATTTGGGTGAGCAGAGCTACTGCCTTCCTTACACGGAGTGTTGCCTTCCTTACACGGAGTGTGATAGTTTTGCAAGGGTTCACTTGGGGGGAAAACAAATCCCCAAATGATGTGAAAGTACTGAAAGCCTGTTTGAGTTATTACCATACCGCAAATGAGACGAAAGCTAATGGAAAAAAATTCATGTAACTGAGGAGAAAGCTCCACACAGCATTTCTTTAGTAGCTCATGATTTAATGCATGTACACTACGACAAAGAGTTTGTCATACAAAATTTGAGAGCAAGAAACAACAAAGTTTGCTTATAGCACAGTAGGAATCACCAGCACGTCCTCTCAAAACATGCACTGACAGCATATTATAACACATTGAGATATTCACACTCTGTAAAAACACACACATGCAAACTGTAGCTACAAACTATACACCTCAAAGCATGTACACGAGAGTAGGACAGCATAATAATATTTATAACGCAAAGTTTTTTCCGGGGATTGGTGAGGGGGTGCAAGACCACTAAAAAGCAAAAACCGTAATATTTTTAGTGGATGTTTTGTGACAATGTTTTCGAAGAGAAAAATCCCAGAATACTGCTGTGTTACTGGCCATATCATATTATATACCCGAATGAAGGGGGGAGGGGGATGTGCCTACAACCCCCCTTCTGTATGCACCCCTGAATCTGGTACCCCAACTTTCTTGTTTAGAAAAATGTAACCTGATGCTTCGTTACAGCAGGGTTCAGCCAATGTCTTACGGACAGCTTTGGGAATATCCTTGGATTAGTGGGAGCGGGTGGAGATACTTGGAGAACTGGCAGAACCGCACTGACTCCATCATTCTCGGCAATGAAGATGAAACTAGTCAGTTTATGATGGATTTGTGTGAAAACTTCACAATGGTATTTCAAATTGTACAGATGGTGCCACTTTTAAAAAAGAGCTCAGATGTTCTAGTGGAGAAACTAGGAGAGTTTGCTGAGTCTGGAAAAAGTGTAGAGATGTTCAGGTATGTTGTATCCTACATTGAGTTAATATGCACCGCAGTCATTTTAGTTTTGCCACGTAGAGTGTATGGAGCATTCACTATGGAGACTTTGATAGCTACTGCCTTTGGTCGACATGTGAACATTCAGCGGGGAGAGGCGGACCAGATAACGCAGGGGGCCAACTCCATTTTCCGTGCTGCTGAAGACGGATCACCCAATGCTCCAGACGTGCTTATGGCTCTTCTCTGTAAGCATTGGGCATTGGATGTTTGTACACATAATTTCAGCATGCAGAACTATAATTATTATGGTACAAACACTGTGGCGAGTGGGAGTGATCGAAGTGGCATTCATTTATGATAATAATTCAGGTATTTGTGCCAGTAGGTAACAGCTCAGCGTGTGAAAGGTTAGTCCAAATTAAGCCATGCTTAAACATGTAGTGCTGCAATGGAAATATTGTGCGAAGTTGCACCTTGACGTGGACTTTGTGTAGTAGCTGCCAATGGGGTTGCCATAAACTACATATTGTGTAGACATCATACCCATACGCATGTGACTACGTCTCACGCAACAAATATGTAGTGTGTACTTGTCATTCAGACGTAGTATTTTTACTCCCACACAAAATTTGTTGCATAACATTTAAATGTGCATATCGCTACACCATGATAGTTGGTAAACAAGTTACCCCAATATTTTCCAGCTATTTTTCTGCGCTCTATGTATGTGATAATGATGTGGCTCAATAGCGCTCATATATAGATGTTTCTCCTCTTCTCAGCCACCTTTCCCTGGCTGGAGCAACTGGTGGTGCAAGTTCTTCTGAGGATGGAGATATCGTCTTCTCTGAAACTCATCAACAGCACAGCCATCAGCCTCATACAGGCCAGAATAGAGAGCAAAGAGCCTCCCCAGGTATCACTATACATACCTTTAAGCTTCAGTACTATAACATGTGATAGGCTCTGTGAAAACGACCCTTGTCACGCACGAAGCTTCAGTACTATAATATTATAGTTTCTAGTAGTAAGTACGGCAAGGACAAATTAGAGTACGGCCGTATGAAATACTCAATCTTATTGGTCACCTGGGAGAAAGCTATATAGCTAGTCCCACTTAGGTTTATAATACTTCGGAACATGTTACATTTTAAATCATTTATGGAAACCATGCGATTTAGGGAAGCCTCGGGCCCTGTAGTACCGTCCTCGCTGCACTCGAAATGCCACAGTTCCAGGGCCTTGGCCTCCTAAATCCATATAGTTTCCTATGACTCGTCCTCCAACTATTACTTTACCCTAGGTGAAGGACTTGCTCCAGCTAATGCTGGATGCCACAGAAGGGGACAGTGCTACTGGCAAGAAGATGACTGAAGAGCAACTTGCAGGGGTTTTCAATTGACTTCCTGCTGGCCGGCTATGAGACAACAGCCAACACTCTGAGCTTCACCACATACCTCCTGGCAATGAACCCCGATGTACAGGAGAAACTGCAGGCAGAGATTGACCAATACTTTGAGGAAGACCCCGTGAGTATACACTTGAACTCAAATTTAATCACCAGTAGGGTAGCTAGTATTACCAGGATTGCCATATTGTGTTGATACCAATGACGCAGGAGGCATCTCTGTATGAAGCGGCTCAGAAGCTCAAGTACCTGGATATGGTTATCCACGAGTCAATGAGACTGTTACACACCCGTACCAAGTATGGGGACAGTGAACTTTCTGATTAGCTAACCACTAATGAAAATCTACTATATAGACTCAACGTCGCTGTATGAAAACAATCACTATCGGAGGTGTGACAATTCCAAAAGAGCTATTGTGGTGATTCCAATTGATGCCATCCATCACTTGCCAAGTATTGGCCGATCCGTACAAGTTTGATCCCGAAAGGTATTTGGATATCAATATTTGCTCACTCCACTTATAGTGTTTCTCACTTCTCAGGTTCACAGCCGAGGCAAAGGCGAATCGACCCCAGTTGCTCACATGCCGTTGGCTGGGGACTCCTCGCAACCTGTATTGGACTCAGGTTTGCTCTGCTGGAGACAAAGATTGCCCTCATGGAGATACTGAGGAAGTACAGCTTTGCCAGAGGACCCGAGACTCCGGTATGTGTCGCAGAAAGATTAATCTGTAGTATATTCTTTTTATTGTTTGAGCCCAACTGGAGCAAGCATACGCATCACATCTACACCGAAAGGCGGAGTGTTTGTCAAGATTGTACCAAGAATCAACGACCATTAGCTCATTGAGGGCAGCACACACGTGCACGAAAGTTTGAACCTGGATTTTCGACTATTATTATACCACTTCTGTATAATGTGACCTCGCGCTGGTAGCGTCATGACGTGCACACGGCATCCACTCACACTGAAGTGCAGGATATGGTCCTCCTACTATTATTAATTGCTCTGTTGAGTCAGTGTTCATGCATCAGACTAAGTGTAGATGTAATACCTGGTTGAGATGCTAACGCACAAAGCTACGACTCAAACTGACACAGCTACTGCAGAGAGACTCATCATCTGTCACAATTCTGTCTCTCCTTCATCAAATCACTGCGAGTGAATGAATGGTCGCCCATTCCAAAAACTATTAGCTAGCTATATATCTCAGTTGTGTATCGTGTGACTTGAAGTGGTAGTTGAAGATAATGATTTCAGCAGCTCTCTCAGATGTCAGTTTGCACTGACCACAGATTACGTCAGGGTAGAAACATAATTATGCAATGCCTCAAGTTGGTGATGCGAGATTCGTCCGCTCATTGTGGTTCAGGGAGTTTAATGTCACATTAGACGAGGTTAACTGCCACGGCAAGCTCGGGCGCATGCGCAGACTGTAACATAATGTCACAGGCTAGTGCACAGTGCTGCATAGCAATGGCAACAGGACCAGGCACGGCTTCAGGCCGGCGACATGGCGCAATAAATAGCAACATGCAGTGCATGGTTGTATGGGGAACGCACGCAAGGTTCCGCTCGGTTGACGTATGAAGCCAGCATTGACTGGCTGGTTGCCCATGCAGTGCTTAAAAGATCAATCGGGCATATTAGAGGGAGGAAAACACTGGTACGTTTCGCCACACCTGGTGCTAAGTTTGCCCAGAAAACACACGTTTGCAACCCCCGCCCGATATAGCTACCTACAAATCCAACCCATCTTCGGATAAGTGTTGACCACGAGGAAGATATCAAGGCTATAGAAGTTCTATCCAGAGTAAGACCATAGCAGTTAAGCTCACACTGAAGTGCAGGATATGGTCGTCCTACTATTATTAATTGCTCTGTTGAGTCAGTGTTCATGCATCAGACTAAGTGTAGATGGTAATACCTTGTTGAGATCTAACGGCAAACTGACAAAGAACTTGCAGAGAATACTCATCATCTGTCACAATTCTTGCTCCTCTTCATAATCACTGCAGATGAATTGAATGGTCGGCCCATTCCAAAAAACTATTAGCTCTATATATTATCAGGGATCAGTGTGACTTTGAAGTTGTAGTTGAAGATAATGATTTCAGCAGCTCTCTCAGATGTCAGTTTGCACTGACCACAGATTACGTCAGGGTAGAAACATAATTATGCATGCTAAGTTGGTGATGGAGATAGTCCCGTCAATTGTGGTTCAAGGGAGTTTAATGTCCATTAGACGAGGTTAACTGCACAGCAAATCAGGCGCATGCGCAGACAGCGTTTACTAAACTGCAAGCTTCGACGCACCGTAACCTTTGTGTTAGCTCATTCCAGTAAACAGATAAAGGACATGTGGTTACTAATTAGCTTACAGCCCACTATATAAAGTTTCAAAAGCAATCTTGCTCATAACATGTACTCAATCCATCATGCGTGTGTGTCTATCTGTTACTCTCCATCTCACTTCTCGTCGTCTCACAAAGGATACGATCTACTTAACGGGCAACGAAGGTCAGAAATTTGGAACGGTTTTCTCTGAAAATGCTCCGTTGCAAAGCTAGCTAGAGCGCTTCCAGCATTGTATATACGCCGCTGCGGATAATGCGCATGCGCCTATATTAAGTCGACCGGGTCCGCTTGCTCTGAAGGCAAAAGAAGTCACAACGAATGGCGTGTATCAACTATCCCGTACTACTGTAGCTAGCCCGTGTCAGACTCTCTGCGAGCTACTAGCGGGAGACCACGCTTTAGCGGTACCGCGCATGCGCAGTTCGTCGAAGGTTTGCACTTCTGTAGTTAGCCATCAATCCACCAATACAAAACCCTCATTAGTGTTGTCTGGTAGTTGAGACCATGATTCTTTCCCGGCTACATTCTGATACGAGTACACTTTGTGTGAACAGTACCACGGTCTAAAGTAGGCTATACTCCCATTGCACTACTGCATCTCCCCTGTACATTTCCTCTGGTGCATTCTTTCTGTCCCTCCACCTCATGCTGCTGATATCCCTCAGATCTGCTGCTGCTGCTGCTGCTGCTACAGCCTTCTGTGGTGTGGTGACTGACTGCTGTTGTGGCTGGACCCTGTCTCCCTGCTCTTGCAGTTGTTGAATCTTTCTCTTGTGGTCCGATATGGTCTGCTATGGCTTATTATTCTCCCAAATGGTGGTTGGTGTAGTTCATGAAGCTGCCTACTAAGCTGCATATCCTTCTCGCCCACCATGCTTTCTGTGTGTTTGCTGCTCATTTGCTTCCAGTGTCTTACGTTTAAGTTGCAGCTGAACCTGTTGGACTTCAATGCTGCCCTGAGCCTGTTGCTTGCTCTCTCTATAATTATTGAGAGGATTCAGGTAGGGATATCAATTACCTGGCGATTGTGCGGTCATAATGGAGTGGTTGCAAGGCTAATGATGCTAATAAGGGCCGAATAAGGTACTCAGGATTCGAACCCACCACTACACTCTGCAGTCTAAGCAAGCGCTCTACCAACTGAGCTGTATACAAGGCAACTCAGCGGGTCAGGGGTCAAATCTACAACACAATACAACACAAGCAAACCTCATCTATCCTCCTCATCAAGCGCCAGGTCTCACACAGCAGCGTTTACTAAACTGCAACACATAAGCTTCGCCGCACTGCAACCTTGGTGTTAGCTCATTCCAGTAAACGGTTAAAGGACAGGTGGTTACTAATTAGCTTACAGCCCACTATATAAAATGTTTCAAAAGTGGTTTCTCACAATCTTGCTCGTAACATGTACTCAATCCATCATCATTTAACTGGTATATTAGATTACGTATGCTACAAACTGATTATTGCAACGATGACGATGGTCAATCATTGCACATAGATCTCGAGAGTCTCAAAGTTAATGTCTTCAACGGCTCGAACATCACTAGCACACAGCCTCAGCTCAATGTCATCACTGGTTGGAGGAGAGATCTCTTTCCTGAACCATGGTGGAGAGTTAAAATCACAGCAGGTGCTGTACAGACCACATCCAGCACCATCCCAGAGAGGATCGTGTCCATAGAAGATGAG